GCGGATTCAGTGTTAAAGTGTAAACACTTTAGCGTTAACACTTTAACACTTTAACATATACGAACTCGCGGCGAGTGAGGGTGAGGGTGGAGAAGTGAGAGTGAAGTGGGTGAAGAAGTGCTCCACCCTCATCCTCACGTCCTCACCCTCAGTTATGCACGTTTATACTTTAACACTTTAACGTATAAGAATCCGCGGCGACGGCGATGATGCCATAATAACAGCGTTTTCATTCCTCGTCTCAAGCTAAATCTGCATCCGGCTCTTTCGTTCCACGTGGCTCAAAGGAATGGAATGGACTTCCTTCGGTTTTAGCATGTCAGTCTTCTTTATCTGTATTTAACCGCATGTTAAGAGATCATCTAGGCTTTCAATAATTTTTATGTTTATTACTCTTTCTCTTAAAATGTAACACACTTATGTTTTCTCTTACAATGTATGTCTTATAGTAGCGCTTCTTTTTAGAAACTTTTTAGTTTAGGTTATCATGAAGTGTCTCCGGATGCCACAAGTCTTTTTGGTTCTTTTTCGTGATATCCTACCTTTGTGTAAAATAAATCTATCTATCTATTATAAATATCTTCTTCAATTTCTTTTATTGGAAAACACGTGTCTGGATATATTAATTTAAGAATATTCAAATACTAAAATAAATATAAATTAAATCATTCCTACTATACTGCTTTGGTAAAAATTGTAAATAATAAAAAAAGTTGTTTATATTTTACTTGTTGTCTAACCCCTCCTCTCCTTTCTCTCCTCAACAACTCGATGTTAATAGCATCGTTAGTTGCATTTCTATTCATTCATTTAATATATTGCTAATATCGTACATTATTCATTTTTATTCCGTATTCAGACAAATCTATCTATCATTATTCTATTCGACAATAAGAAAAAATATAAATTTTAAAAAACATATTTCGTCTGATTGTGAAATAACATTCTATTTTTAAAAAATACCACAATATAAAGTATTATATTTTGACACGCTACCTAATAGTTATGAATGGTTAAAATTTTCACCTTTACTAAGTAGATGTATTCCACTTGACTGAATACACAAATCTTATATAATTTCAAAAACAAAAATAAAAGAAACGCTAATTTCGTACAGTATTTTAATCTCGTAGATTTAACTTTTATTCTAGAAATATGTATAACATATGTCAAAGGGAAATATTTTCTATGGATAAGTTAAAATAAGTCTCATTTCGACATAATTGCGTCTACTATAAAAAGAAAAGAACTTTTTAATAATGAAATATGCATCTATTGCGTATAATATGAAGCAAAGATTTACAATTTTAATTTCTTAACAAATTAGATTTAAAACTAAAAGGTGAATGTAAAATTGTAATAGTATATCAATGAGTTTTGACGAACGCATCAACATATCAAATATTGATCAGAACTAAGATGAATACTCTTATTGTCTGAGGTTTCTGTACTGAAAATAATACACAGACACATCAGTAAAAGTCATTACTGCTATCAATATTATTTAAATGAAAATTATTATTAGAATGATCACCATACACAATAAAAATTATCGCATAGAGAGAAGAAACAAAATGTTGTTTTTTCTTTTTTTCTGTTTCAATTCAGATAACTGCAGGTAGAATAAAAAAAAGGGGACATACGCTATATTTTTGACCTATTGTACAAGTTGTCATGAAAAATAGGAAATAGAAGAGAAAGCTTTTCATCTGGAAGCTGCATGAATATATAGTCCAGTTTCTTTTCTTTTTTTTCTTCTCATAGCAGAACATTCGACTCTTCAGTGAACAATAACCATCATTTTCATGACATCATGAACGGAAAGTAAACGTACTGACAGTCTAGATCGACAATGCCACTTCATAAACTTAGATAAAAGAAACTAATCAGACAAAATTTATCGATGATGTATGTGTGTATACTTAATATGTCTTGACATAATGATACATACAAAACATATCGATAAATGATTGACGAACAAAAACTAAAACAAACAATTTAACTTTCTACCACAAACAATGAGAAAAAAAAGTATCATCAACATCATCTTTCATCGTTTTAAGAAATACGTTATCTATATTTAATCATACAAAGAGAGAATTCATCATGTAATCAAAACTAAACGGAATTTAAAAATAAAATCGTACAACCATTATCATGATGAACATAGTATTCCTTGATTTCGTCAGAACCCAGAACAACTTTGTGCTTTTTACTAGAGTTTAAAGATAGATAGTTTGAGAACGCGCTTAAATGAATTAATTTTACATACCTCATACAATTTCGTATGAGCCAATGATACATTTCAAATCATTGCATTGTCTGCTGTAATACGCTAATAGCACCAAAAAATTATCTAAAGAAAAGATATAAAATTTTTGAAAAATTACAGGCTTTTTGCCAGAGAAAAAGTCGGTCTGTTCCACGAGAAACCCCCAGGAAGACTAGGTGGGGCCACGCGAGGAAAAATTCGTTTGTTCTGAAGACAGGTCTGGAAAGATCTAAAAACTAGTAAGGCGGGCACAGTGTACATTTTTCTAATATCAGGCGACATCACCTAACTTTTGCTCGTAAATCGTTTTTTTCATAGATAATTTATCATTCTTTCGTCATCTGCTTTTTAAGAAAAAATCATGGTTTTGGAAAAACATTGTTGGAGGTTCATGACAAAATTTCGACAGATATTTTTTCTTTATAAAACTTATCGTGTTATACATGGTTCGTTTGACCAGTTGATTCCGAAAATACCATTAGTTTTTGTCACAAACGTCCTTACGCTGAAAAAATTACATTTTACATGAAAAATCAAAATTTTTTAGACAACTTATATTTCGGCATCGGAATTTGCGCATGCATTATCGATGCAATGTAGAAAGAGGAACAATGTGTCAAAGTTTGAGAATTTTTGGATAAAGGTAACACACGAGATACATATTCTAAGAAATATGTCTGTAGGGAAACTTAGAGTTTTTGGAAACTTCTGTGATATCTTCTCTAGTCTGCGGTAAAAAACTAAAATTCTTTCGCTATTACATATGTCAGAGAACATAGAACTAGAATCAGCGTCATTTTTAATCATATCTCTGTTGGATGTATAAAACAACTGTTTTTATACTTATGGTCTGTATATCGAGGCTAACTGATACATGTTTTCCAACAGTACTTAGTAGTTAAAATCAAACTTTTTATGCCAATGGGTAGCCACATATCAAAGTATATTTGTATTTGAATCTGTCACTTTCCGATTTTGCCTAATGTCCGCTTAGATACACATTGTGACGAGATTCTCAAGAACTGGAGTTTATTTTTGACTGCAGGCGTGATCATTACTAGACGACGATCTAATCTAAATCCATAAACGGTAAACGATATCATCATCCGTTCTATAGAAAATAAACATGAAATTTTGCGATTTATCGTTCGATGTATTGCTGTAACTGTTTTGAAATAAAACGTGACGTTTAGTAAGAAAGAAAGTTTATGGATATCGCCCCTAGTGAATGTACTTGATTGCTTGATAAGTACTTGGAAAAAATTGACAAAACTACTTACTTGCCATAAACTTTTACAAGTATTGCTTTAAGATTGCAATATTTGAGTTGATTTTAGTACGAAATACTTTGTGGAAGTATTTGCGGTTTTAAGATACTAGTCAAGTGAAGCAAGTAAACGCTTCATTATGCAAGGAAAGTACTTGTTCAAAGTATATTCACTAGAGGACATTGAACAGGAAAAACATTGCTACACGAACGATATTAAAAAGTGACAAAACAGAAAAAGTTTCTGTGAACGAGAACGAGACGCGGATGCTTTTCAAAATGACAGAGCAGGTTCCGTAAAATGAATATTCTGTGCATCTCTGATCTGTTTATATTTATTAAAGCCAAATTTCAGTCCCGTCTTGAAACACTTTCATGAGAAATCGTGTAATAGTGATCATCATCAATTTTGGCTTTAAGGGGATACGCCTTCAGAAAGAAAGAGCGATTACGCTTAATTCACAATCACTTTGGAAATAATGAGAAATATCAAGTTAAGCTTAGCAAACTGTAAATTCTTAACATGTTGATGCGAGTGTTACCTTATATTGCAACAATATAAAACAGATGAAGATTTCTGAGAAAGACGTCTAGTCTCTTAGTGAAATGATGAAATTAATCTTTGTGACTTGATTTATAGTGAAAATAGGGCAAGAGGTGTGTGTGCAAATACTTGGCGCTAGAGATCAGTCTGTGTTTTCAGTAGGTTATTTCTATTGTCAGACCTGAATAAGACATATTCTACGAAATATGTCTTTTAAAACTCAAGTATACTCCTAAATTACGCTGATAATCCAGGAGTTATTTCGTTATGCCTGAACTCCTTTTTTGCTTGATAGCGTTATCCCAATTTTCTGCTCCGTTTCTAATATCCGTCTTTCTATGTCCAATATGTTTTGTTAAAAAAGATGACCTTATTCTTACTGCCCGTTTTAAAAATATTCACCTTAAGAAATCGTTCAAACGTCACCACTATATTAACATTATTGTTTAGCGAAAAATTGAATCCGTAGGCCCATTACAGTACAATTTATTTAAATCAATGGGTGAAATGTCATCAAACATCAGTAAAATGATGAGTCCGTTCAGAATAGCCATATATTAGCAGGCGGACAGACGTCGGCAACAGAGATAAAAAAGTTCTTGTCAGATGTCTTGGAAGTTTAGCTATCTCATACTAGCTTCAGCTAACTTGGAAGCATAAAATATTATATACTAAAACAAAACAGACGACGGCTCAGAATAAAGGGCCAATAGAAAAATTACTTTCCAACGACCTCTTTTACTTTCGTTTTTTTGACACATATTGTAGAGAGCCGATTTACCGTTTAAATCACTACTTCAAACTGATACTGGCCCACCTGTTCTTTCTCTGACCAAATTCTGGCGACCGTTAAATCGACAAAATGGCAACTGTACTGTGACTGGTTGGGTTTGGAATTTGGGGATTGGTTTTAAAGAATGACTGTAGTGTACATCGTAGACATACGTACGACGACGACGATAATTCAGCTTGTTTGTTTATTTTTCTTTCTTCCAGAAAAGTTTCAATACGTTTTCCTTGCACTTGTATTATTACAACAATGAAACGTGAATAAATCGTTTTACAAAGAACGAATGTGTGATAATTGAGTACTAGAAAAAGTCTATTCTAATGAAAACCATCACCATTAGCTATTGCAGGCACAGTTTATATTCCCATTTAGCTTGGCTTTCTTAAGCGACACAGTCTTAAGTGAAGGAGGTTAGCACAAGCAGAAAGCTGCATTGCTCCGGGTATATACTATGGGATATCTTTTTAGATCAGCCTGACTGGGAGATAGCACACAGTAAATCGAAAGTCAATAGATAGAAAAGGAAATAATGGTAGCTAGTATTTCTGCTAGTTAATGATCTCGTTTTGTAGATAAAATAAAATATCACTCGAAGTAGAAGAATGCGTTCGAGTTTTAAGCAATATCTGTCAACCATCCTGTATTCTATTATTATTCTGTTACAACTAATCAATTACTCAAATTGTCTTTACTTTCATATTCGAGAGACTGATCGCAAATGCTTTATAGAAGAAATACCAGATGAGACGTTAGTAATTGGAAAATATAAAGTTGAGGTAAGAAAAATTTGCTTTAATGAATCTATTTTCTGTATGGTATTATTTTCACTTTTAGCTACTTGATCCCGCAACGAACACGTTTATACCAGGTGGTAATGGAATTGGAATGCATGTTGAAGTGAAAGATCCAGATGAAAAACTGGTGCTATCTAAACTCTATACATCAGAAGGAAGATTTTCATTTACATCACATGTGAGATAGAACTTTCTCTCTTACAAGGCATCTTGGCAAAAAAAGTTTTTGCTATATAGATCCCTGGTGAACATGTTATCTGTTTGTATTCAAATTCAACTGCATGGTTTGGTGGTCAACAGTTAGTAAGTTGTTCGATTTGCTACTAAATATAACGATCATTACAAATACAGTTTCTAAAAGCAGAAAAACTTGGAAATGACATCCAAAAAATGGCTTTAAGCCAACTTTTTTTCATTACCATCGCATTCTCTTCCGTAATCTCTTAATGTAGTTCAAACTTGAAATAATGAAAGATAGTTGTTTATAAGATTGCAATGTTTATTCTATTTTATAGCGTGTTCATCTTGATATTGACATTGGTGAACATGCTGTTGATTATGGTCAAATAAGTGCACGAGAAAAATTAACTGAATTACAATTACGTGTTAGACAACTTTTAGATCAAGTTGAACAGATAACGAAAGAGCAGAATTATCAACGTTATCGTGAAGAACGTTTTCGTGCTACAAGTGAATCGACTAATCAACGTGTGCTATGGTGGTCGATTGCACAATTGGCTATACTTGTATTAACAGGTGTATGGCAAATGCGACATTTAAAGAGCTTTTTTGAAGCAAAAAAACTTGTTTAAATGAAAGAGAGTGCTCATCAAAAGTAGACAGAATTGTTTCTTATATTTGTTTTCTTCCTCAGATATACAAGGACGAGTTTTTAACGCGCTATTAGTGGGTTAAGGAAATAATATACTTCTCAAATTTTATTTGTTCCACTTATTCTCTTTCTGTTTATTTCTTTGTTATTGTTACAGTATGCTTAAGTTTTCTTGTGTATGTGAAGAAACATTACGTGCGTTACTTCTCTTTGATATCAACTTAAAAAAAGTTTTTTAATTTCGAACTTCTGCGTACATTTTTGTTTTGTTCTTTTTTCTTCTATTCTTACATTTAGTTTCTTAATGCGTCCGGTAAATAAAGTTATGTTGTGTGGTTTCAGGTTTGTTATTCGCGTTTTGTTACAATCATAATAAATTTTGAAACAACTAAATTGATAAAAGCGAATAGCTGCTTTCAAATTAATAGTAAAAACGCTCAAGTGTTTGGAGTAAGCGCTAAATATCTATTTTCCATAATCCCAATGAATGTCGAGAGAACTTTTATCCATTTTGTTCTCCTTTTCAATAGAAAAATGTGAATTAAGTACTGAAGAACAACTAACCAGTCATTTTTTGTGCATTAACTTTTTTGATACGTTGAATTTTGTTATATTTTAGATCAATTTTTTGAATTTCATTTATTGCTTGTTTATTGTTTGTTTCATTTTGTGTTATTGACACTCTTTTACTTTCATATTATCAACAGTTCATAAATTGTAAATATTATTATTGCTATTGAAGACGTACCCTCATGTTAGCTCGTGGTGTAAGAAATGTTATTTATAATTATACCGATGCACAGAGAAAAGTTCGAGAAGCAACAAGCAATGATGCATGGGGGCCATCACCGGCGCTTATGCATGAAATAGCTGATTTAACACATAATGTTGTTGCCTATGCTGAAATAATGCCCATTGTATGGAAACGTTTAAATGATCACGGTAAAAATTGGCGACATGTTTATAAATCCCTTGTCCTATTAGATTATTTAATTAAATATGGCAATGAACGTGTTAATCAACAATGTAAAGAAAATATATTTGCTATTCAAACATTAAAAGATTTTCAATATATTGAAGATAATAAAGATCAAGGTTTTAATGTTAGAGAAAAAGCAAAACAATTGGTCTCATTATTAAAAGATGATGAACGTTTGAAAAATGAACGACGAAAAGCGCAAGAAGGTCGAAACAATTACTATCAACAAGCAATGGGAATGGACTCAAATGGTGCAATAACATACGGAAGACAAACAGCACCAGTAAGACGAAATAGTACAAATGATATAACACAAGCAAATAGTGATTATCCGTCGAACAATAATTATATGAGTAATACAAACACCGTAAGATCATCGTCGTTCAATGATGGAATAAACACACATACTAAAAAAGAATTTGTACAACCAACAAATCAAGAAGAAGAACAATTACAAATGCAAATTGGTAAATGCTGATGTTGTACTCTTCATCTCAATATCACTGAATTTGTTTTTTTTCTCAGCTCTAGCTGAATCTCAACGTGAAGCAGAAGAAGAAGAAAGACGACGACGAAATGATGATTTAAGATTAAAAATGGCATTGGAACGATCAGTTAGTGAAAATTCAACTGATGCAAATCAAGCGCAGGTAATTGGTCATGTTCTATATCCCAACCTATCTTTTTGTTATTTGTGGTGTTAATTTGTTGTTATCTGTGAGAACCATTCAATAATGGCTTCAGCTATGTTGAGTAAAGGTTTAATTAACCTTTTGTTTCTAGTCATTCGATATGTCTAACCCAAGTCAGCTCGATCCATCATTATTTACTCAACGTCCAATGGATCATACAACATGGAATGATGCGAATCCCGCATCAGACTTTGGATGGAATACAAAACCCACAAATAACAGTGGCTTCTCATCGTACGACACATCATCACGTACAAGTAAATTTTATTTTCTTATTCTTTGTTGTTTTTATTCTCTCATCTAAATTATAAGAATAAATATCCGGTATTCTTTAAAGATTTAAATAGTTCTTTTGATACACTTGTACCGTCATCTGCACCGTCACCACCAAATGATTTTGATTTTGTAAATGAAGAAATATTTTCGACAAATCTATCATACAATATCAAAATATTGTGTTTCAAGTGAATTTCATATAGTTTTGACCGGTTATGGATGTTATAAGTTTTTTTTAATCAACATTATTTATTTGATTATTAAAAGTACTGTAATTATCGTTTGGTTGGTTGTATAATCGTGTTTTTATTTTTATAGACGATCCATGGTCATCAGAGCCAGCTACTGCTTTAGCATCTTCAACATTAGATCCTTGGCAATTGCCTAATTTAAAATCTTCAGCATGGCAAGGAAATACTATTGGACTCAATTCTCAAAATAATTCTCTACCACGTACATCAACATCACCATTGTTAATAACAAATAATACAGCGGCAACAACAACAAATAATAATCCTTGGGATAGCTTAACAAATGATTCTCATACAATAACAGCATCATCAGATGATCCATGGGGTTTAAGTACAGGCGATCCACGAAATAATTCACATACAACAAATATTTCTCCATCTCAAAATGATCAAAGGCATACAACAAAACAAGCAGATAATGAATTAAATGAATTTTTTGGGGGTAATAACGAAAATAAATATTACGTATGTAGATGAGATTTTTTCTAACCTATGTTCATTTTAGTGACCGATAATTATTCAAAGACGGTTTCTTCATCGGCATTTTCTACTACAACAACATCGACAAATCCATGGAATATGCCCTTGTTATCTACTAATTTGCCGCCACAAACAACATCACCAATTCAAAATTCATTTTCATCATCCGATTTATCAAAAAATATGCTATATCCGACTATACCAAGTAAACCAAATCAAACCAGTCAAAGTCCGTTTCCAGCCAATAGTTCTGCTGCTGCCTCTAGAAAAACACCGGAATCATTTCTTGGAGACAAATTCATTGGACTTGTTAACCTTGATAAGCTTGTCACTGAACCAAAAAGTACGTATCATACAATATAGTCAAAAAATTTCAGTATTTTATGTTAATCTTGTATAATTTTAGCCACAAATCCATTTGGTGCAAATCCACGTGCACCTAATCCGTTCGCTCAAACTGTCAAACCACCGACTTTAGAGCAATTAAGTTCGGTGACTAATACAAGCGGTTTTTCACAACCACCAACATTGCCTCCACCGTTGATTCCACTCTCAAGTTCTCTTGCACCAACTCCACCACCAGGTTCAAAAAATCCATTTATTTGAGTCAGGTTTTCATTATTTTTTTTTTCTTTTATCAAGATCTGTAACTTATTGATATTTTCCGAAAACAACACATTCTTTTTTATTTTTGCATACTCTGACGCAATACTCATTCTTAAAAAGAGACAATGAGTTGTTTTTTTTATTTAACAAACTATTTATGTTTTCTTTTTGCCTCATAATGTTTGTACATAAACTAATCAATAGTTAGTATGGGGATCTTACGTCATTTTTTTTTCTCATGTACACTTTAAGGAATCTCTTTTTTCCTGAAAAAAATTTTTTTTTTTCGTTTTTTTTATTTCAATTTTTGTGTGAATGTGACTTTGTAACTATGATACCACACTGATAATAGAAGACTTACTACACAATTTTTTTCGATCCTTGTCATTCCAGTGCATTTATGTATAATCGGAGTACAGTAAAGAGCTTAAAATGAGAAAGATCTGAAATCAAACAAAGTCATTATTGAATGTTTTTAATTTTCTGTGCATCCACTTTGTCGAATAAATGATAAATGCTTTGACTTTTTATTTAGAAAATTTAGAAAAAATTCTAACATCATAGTTTAGTTTTTAGAAAAATGACGCATCAAAGTTTACCAAATATAAACCGATCATTCGAACAAATATTAGAACAAAATTCTTTTGTTCTTTATCCTATTTTTATTCACGCTAAAAAATTTTATCAATTACGTCTAACAGTCGTAGTACTTACTATTACGCAATTATTTACTTTTATGATTTTATTTTTTATTATCGGTTTAAAAACGAGAATTGCTATCATGTATGCTACAGTGACTATCCTCTCTCGACTGTTTTTCTTTTCAAATATTTTTAAATGAACATGGCTTATGGAAAATGTTTGTTATTAGTATTTATCTCTCATGTATATTTCTGCTAGCATGTGCTATTTTATCTTTAAATTTTTCTTTATCGTCATTAGTTAAGTGTTATAGAATCCCGTTTTTCTTTCATCTTTTTTTTTTGTGTGTATAGGCGAAAAAAAAATATAGACACTTTGTTGAATTGTTACTTTCTTTTGTCTTGTTAATTCAAAAAGCTTTCTCTCACTTTTTATACAATATGTTGTTTGTTTGTGTGCATGTGTACCCTTGTGCTGCGTTTTTCTTTTTCTGTATTATTGTTCACAGACTGCTAATATATTTTCATTCAGTGTCTCTATATTGACGGTATTTACACTATATCAACTCCCTAATGTTTTTCTTATCAGAAAAAAACAAACAATTTATACATGTATTTTTCTTAAAAAGAAATAAAATTTCAAATTAAAAATAATTGCTACTTACACTTAAAAACAAAAAAAGAGAAAGAAAATCGCATTAATACTGTGTTATTTATTAGTGGCATAAAAAGACATCTGTAAGACAAAGAATATAGAATTCATTTTCAGTTCAAGTTACTGATACAATAGTACAGTGGACTGAGAGATAACTCTGTAAAATATTTCAGAAATTTTTGTGGAAGAATACTAGTACTTGTTTTAATCCATTTTCTTGATTTTAATTTTCAAGATGAGTAATTGTTAAGTGGCAAGAAAAAAACGTGTTTATACATGTTCAAAAGTATTAGTGTTCGTCAGTCTTTACTCAGTCTTGTTCAGTCTATAAGTTGTCATCATTCTTTCAAATTTATATGAAAACTTGACATTAGAAATGAGTTTTTAGACAACAGTTGATAGTTCAGTCTCAAAATTTTTAACAAAGCAGCATTCTAAAAGAGTTTATACTTGTAAGAGAGATCCATAATAACAATGCAATTGTTAGAAAAAATTTCACATACAAAAAGACATCCATGAAATAATTTGAAGCGGCTAACGATCTTTAGAATACGTTACATATGAAAATCAAATTTTTTTATATTTAACACGTTTAAATGGGTTAAATTTCCAAAGTTAACGCGATCGAACATGATTTTGAAAAAGAAACGATGAAAACTGCACATTTTTAACTTCTGAATTTAACGCGTTAGAGCAGTGGATTAACTCCTTAAATGTTTCATATTTAACATGTTCTAACGATCATTAGCCGTTTTAAATTATTTCATGGGGTAACATGATATTTTTTATTTTTATCTCCCTCAAAGTAGGACAAATTTTTTTTTTAGATGTCAGCACCCACCGAATCTTTATTTCATTCAACAGATAGTAGCAATTCAACGGTGACAGTTGATATTCCTTTGAAAGAAATGTTTGCTGCACCTGATGTTGACCTTAGTATACCGAGTAAATACGAATATTATACACAGAACAGTAACAGTCCAAAACCGTTGATATCATTCGGTATTATATCAGATATTCAATATGCTGGTAGTGTAATCTTAAAATTTATTTTTCTATTCTCATTCGAATTTAACTGTTTAAAAATGATTATTTTTTCTCTCTGTTTTTTTTATAGATAATGACGATTGTTGGAATCATCTAAAAACTTATTTGAGACGTTATCGAAATGCCTTAAACTTATTAAATGAAGCATGTTCAAAATGGAAAATAATTCATCATGAAACACCATTACTATTTATTTTACAATTAGGTGATATTATTGATGGTATATCTTTTAAAAATGGAAAATCTGATCAAGATTTAAAAACAATTTTAGAACCGTTTAATCAATTGAAATCAGAGATTCATTGTCAAATTTATCATCATTGGGGTAATCATGACTTTTATAATTTTAAACGAGAAATACTACATTCATTACCATTATGTTCATTTGATACAAAACAAATTTATCCTGCACATTATGGAACATTTGAAGTATGTAAACATTTACGTATTATATCGCTTGATACATATGAAACAAGTGGATTAGGTGTGGATAAAACAAGTACCGTTTATCAACAAGCAGTTGATATGTTAAAAAAACATAATAGTAATGATAATTTGAATGAACCAGGTAATTTAAGAGGACATCAAAAACGATTTGTGTTATTTAATGGTGGTGTAAGTGATAAACAATTAGAATGGTTAAATAGACAATTAGCTGAAGCAGTGGAAAATAATGAAAAAATTATTATTACGGGTGAGAATCAGCGTAACAAAGTCTACTAGAATAATTTGTCTTTTTTAACTCTTGAGGAATCAGTTAAACGAAAATGCCATTTTCGAGAATAATGTACAACTATGAATAAACTTCATAGGGAAGAAAACATAAATTTTATTATTTTTTTCAACAATTTTATTTAGGTCATAATCCAATTCATCCAAGTGCTTGTAATAACATGTGTTTGTTGTGGAATTATAAAGAAGTTCTAGATATATTATGGCAATACGATTGTGTTATTGCTGTTATATGTGGTCATGATCATGATGGCGGCTATTTTCGTGATCGAAAAAATATTCATCATTTAACATTTTCGGCGATTGTCGAAACGAATCCAAATACGAACGCTTTTGCTACTGTTCATGTATATCCAGACTGTTTATTAATTCAAGGTGTCGGTCGGATTAGTACATATCAAATTGATTGTCAGTTAGGCAATATTATGACATCATCCTGAGATTTTTTGATTTTTATTTATTAATCTGTGTGATTATCTACTAGACTTTTTAGTTTTGTTTTTGTGCACGATATATTGAAATTATTCATATATATTTTGCAATTCTAAGTGCGGCCCGTTTCCGCGTAGATCTGAGTGAACAACGATGTAATAGCGATACCATACAATGGCAGAATTGTTCTTAATAAAATACCTTCTGCATTTACGATGTTATTTTTTAGTTGTTTCTCTCAAACTAACACTTTACTCTTTATTATAGATTTTGTAGAGAGAAAGAAAGAAAAACAATGAGATTATATAATCGAGCGGTGCTTATACATCGGCGAATTATTTATCAGCCTTGGAAAGATCGTAAGTTTTATTTATTTTTTAAAAATTTTGAATAATGTTTGATTTCATTTTTTTTTTTCTAGAGGGTATTTCAATGTTAAAATATGCCACTGAGCATATTCCACATATTGTATTTGGAGTACCGTTAGCAGTTTTTTGTATGATAGACTGTCAAAATCCTTTTACTTATTAGTTTAAAAAATCCCTCATTATTCTTATAGGTATGGCTGTATATGGCTTCAAAAGTGTTTACAAAGCGAATAAATATCAATATAATGTATATAAACGACGTTGTATGGGTATGTCTATAACATCTTTAATATTTCTTTTATTATTTAGTGTTTTGTCTTTTTCTCATATTCATTAGTTCGTCGACCAGAGGATGTACCACTAGAATATCGTCCGTTTTGCAGTTAAAAAATTCCCATCTTATTATTGTCTAGATTTGAAATTTAGTTAGAAAATTCATAAACTAAACACATATATATTTCTAATTTGCAAATGTTCTTTTTTGCGACGATTTTCCTTTTAAAATAAAAATGTTTATAGACACTACTGAATCCTTTAAATAATTGCATTATTTTATTTTAATCGATTGGTAGATCTAATTTTGAGCTGAAAAATGCTGATGATTATTGGACACAACCAGTCGGTTCTAGTATGATAGTTGTGAGGATATACTTATCCTAGCACTACAGTCGGTCACTTTTTTATAACTTCTCATACTAGAATTATAATATCTTGTTTCTGCTTTTAGTACTACTAAAGTGCTATTTGATTACCAAATATTTTTTTATAATTCGTTTTATACTCTATTTAAAAGAAAAATATAATTAAAACTACCAATAATTATGTATAAATATTGCATAATGTAAAAGTATTGTCGGTCTTTTCATTTTCATTTGATAATATGATACTAATGTCATCAGATATTTCTATTTTTATCAGAGTACACAAGGTTACTTTCGTGAAGTGCTTACACTGACTGCTGCTCCACTACCAACAGCGATACAAAGCTGGACGATTCCTCCAATAATCCCAAGGATAATTGCTGCTAACGCAGTCCAATAGACGATTGGATCACAATAACTGTATTGTAATTTATCATGAAATTGAGGCTTGCTTAACATTGTTTGTATCCAAATGAATGTTCCATAGATCCACCAGCCTAAAATCAATGTACCAACGACGATTGCCAAGATTGAGGCGATCACGGCTGCAGCTCCTGTCCCAAAACTAAAGGATGTTAACTTTTTCAACACTAGAAAAAGAAAATGAAAATTTTGATACGTGTGTGGTAAACCTTAACTAACGAGGGACCTTTTTCAACTGTTTAATCGCTTTCTGGTCGAAACCTAGTGGGTTATAGGTTATCGACCACGCTGATTCCGAATATCCATATGAGACGGCCTACTAGGCCTTCCTAGAGCGGCTTTCTGGAAAATCAGTTTTCCAGAAACCTCGAAAAGTCCATAAAACTTTCTCTTAATAAATCACGTTGTAGCCCACGAAATTCTGATCAAAATGAGACATCTCCCACCTCTACACGATCTTTCTTTGCAAAGTTATACAATTTACAAGAAAAGCCCTAAATTAATTTCTTATTTCTGTAGCTTTGAGCTGACAATGAACATTTAGGACTTTTCTTGTAAATTATATAACTTTGCAAAAAAAGGTCATGTATAGGTGAGAGATGTCTGTCTCATTTTGATCAAAATTTCGTGGACTACAATCATGATCTATTAAGAGAAAGTTTTATGAGTTTTTTGAGGTTTTGTGGAAAACCGCTCTAGGAAGGCCTAGCAGCCCGTCTCATATGATATTCGGAATCAGCGTGGTCGATAACCTATAACCCACTAGGTTTCGACCAGAAAGCAATTGGGCAGTTGGAAAAGGTCCCTCATAAGATGTATCTAGTATGACAATTCTTTTAACATAACATTAGAGACGAGAGCGGAAGAAACTGGCACAGTCGGGTCTAAGCATGGTAATGAGATAGCAGTCGCAATTTTGTGCGTTATCAGTTTTTTTCTTCAACAAAGTTTATATAAAACATCTATATAGTGCTAGTTAATCATATTATTATTATCTTTATTAGAAAAAAATTTATTCCATAGTACCATTTAATGTCGTACAATCAAACTTTAGCCTACCATCCCGCAAACAACAACCCATGAGAGTCTGTTTCTCGAGAGTTTTCAACTTTAGCAAACACTTTTTTGCTAATTGTTCATTGTTAAGCTGGCATTTGTTTGTTCAAATGAAAATTAATCGCCAGTACCGATTAGTTCCGATCAAGAACTTATCAGAATATACACGAATCGAAACCTGTTTTGGTCATAGCCGATACCTATTTAGCCTGGTAACGATTGGAATCTGTATCGATTCGGAAACTGTGCGTTCTCATTCGGGACTATTATAAGTCTAACCGTTTATGAGAGGTATATAACCTGACCTTTTAGTAATGAATCAACCGTATGACGAAAAATTTAAAAAATTGCCAGCAAATCAGTGGTTCTTATATACGATGTATCTCAGCAAAACAAAAAGAAGCATCCTGTGCAGTCGTGTAAACGTGACTCCTGAAAGATTCTGTTGAGAGTCCTGCTGGAAAGGGAGACCCATAGGTATCCATCAGAAGTTTTTCGTTTTTGTACTATTTCTGCCTGAGGGATTTTCGGTCGGAAAATCGACTTGCAATTATCGGCATATCTGCTGAATTTATCAGCCTCAAAAAAACATGATCGTTTAAGTATTTCAAATCTTTCACTCTCCGTCTTCCGACATTACACTAGATTTCCCATCGCTTTAGTATACTTTAACTCACATGCTAAATATGTTGCTCCAGCGAAGGCATATAGAAACAAATTGAGAAGAATAGCGGCACCAAATATGGTCAACCATAGTGGTATAATTCGATTTGCAAGACAATGATCTTTGTGTATGACACCAACGACAATGAATGCAATTGGAAATATAATAAGAATAATAATACCCACCACACTTATGCCTTTGATTGTGTCAATCCAACTACCTTTTACTTCAGGTACGAATGACTCTTGAAAATCTGTTTGATTAAACGACTGATTCACATTCAGAATAGCTGAATTTTCTAAATCGCGTGAATATGTTTGATACTGTGATTTTTTTGGTGAATTGAACATATTATTAAATGATTTAATAATTAATCAGTAGAAGAGAAACAAAAACCAATAATAATTACGAAATGGACATCAAATAAGGACAATCAGAAGAGAAAAAAAAGAAAAGTATGTAGAAAGACACAATAAAGGCTTTAAATATAAGAAAGGATTCGGTCTACACGATAGCATAGGCTATAAATGAATTATCGATAATTCGTGTCGACAAACGTATTGAATTATCGTCATAGAAACATTTATAGTTGTTCATGTTCATGATACGGCGCGTTTGTCGAGATCGACTTCGGCAAGTTTTTTTAAGAAATGGTAATTATAACTGGAATGCTCAATATACGACCTATTGTAGTTCTCACTAGCATTGCTATGAACAGCATGTGAGAGTATTGCAATACACATATTCTAGCTTATTAATAGAGCGGAGAACATCAGGATTCATGATAAACAATTCATGAACACTAAACTTCTTGATTTATTGTAAAATGATTCATGGTATTATACTTATGCGGTTTTGCATGTCATTGTAGCTCTTTTCTTCTATGTGGATGAAGACATGAGAAAGCTTTTTTCCCATGCGATGACTTTTCTGTCTCTCCCAAGAATCCGTTTTATAAATGCGAAATGTTCGTAGTACTAAACATTATTACAGAGGAACAGAAACAGTATATTCACTTTATTAAACGTTTGTTAATTTACACAACACAACATGCTCTCATCTGCGTTTTATATTTCATTGATTAGTTTTTTTTCGAAATAGTGTTTTGCTTCTTTTGTTGAACTAAATCTCAACTGCCCGCCGTGACTGATCATAAGTTGTCACTGAACGAAATCAATAACAATGATCACAATGGCAATAACACTCCAGCATCTGACAGAGATCATGTGTTTATCGTCATTTGCTTTGAGAAATACAATACAAACAAATATGGGGTTTCACACGGATATCCTGGAAATTTGGCCGAAAATATCACATACATCTGGGTTTGTTGAATAAATTCATTTTCATAAGAAGATTATCATCACTTATTTGAATTGTTTACTCTAGTAATAAACGTTGTAATATTAGAATAGTTTACTCATAAAACTACTTAAATTTTCATTTAAAGTCACATATTTCTAACTCCAAAAAATAAATCTAAATCACTACCTAAAATAGCAATTGTTCAAGTACACTGAACATCTATTTTCTCCTTCTTTCTACCAATCCCTTTGTATTTGTATATATGCGTGTTTTTTATTATTATATTTCAAGTATAATTTAATAGTAAACAACAAAAAAAAGAAAATGATGAAGTAGAGAAGAACCAATTATGAATTGTAAACATGATAAGAAGAAAATGAAAGAATATACTTTCAAGGAATACAAGCAAATGAGGACATAAGATAACAAATAAAAAGAACATAGTCACCACTCTAAATTATTATTATTACCATATAAAATAATTTTCCCCAAACAACAAAAAGTAGTAGTCAAAAAAGATGATATTATTTCTGTAATGAACCCCTGGCAAGAATATCTTATTTTAAGAGTGTTTAGCTGCTATATGGTTTTCTGATTTCATTTCCCTACATCAATGCAATTCCAATCAACAAAAAATAGAAAAAAAAGTTCACACACCACACACACGCACACACGCACACACACACACACACAGTACAAGAAGAAGAAAATTGATGTAGCAACCCTTGTGTAACAATGCAAAAAATGGGAAAAAAGAGCTTAAATTTTGGCGTATCTTAATCCCTAAACAAGACGATACAAGTTTAAAATGAAAATGGGCGATTTATCCCTTTACCACGTTGCTATAGTACAAGCTAAGCTAACATGAACAACAAAAAACAAAAAGAGTATTTTCCGTATGCCTAAGTAATCGCCAAATAGACAAAAACAAATAAAAGGCAAGAAATAAGAATACATGATGAATTTTTTTTGCTTCCTCGTTTTTTTTCTTCGAAAATTGAAATATAATTTTAACAAAACAAACAAAGTTCGATAATTTTTTATCAAAAACAGATGAAAGAAAGAATAATGTAGATAAAATCGATTATTTATGTTCTTTGGTATTGAACTAATGCCTCGCTATGTACATATAACAGTTCAAAATGTTGTTAAATTACAAAATCAATTATGTAATAAAATAATTGAACATTACAGTTGAATTTTTTTCGATAATCATAAATAAATTAGCGGTACGTTCATTTCCTAAAACAAACAGAATAAATATGGTTATTAGAAGGCAGATAAATCGATAATGCGTACAAAATATTTATGACATGAAGCAAAGAATAAAAATTGAAGAAACAAGCATTAACAGTTTGAGATGATAGAATTTTGCAATCAATATTATTTTATTCATAAAAATAGATAAAATTACTAGTCAAAGTGTTTACTTTTGTTTTTGAACGCTCAATTAGATGTATACTTTGTTTGAATTATCGTGCAGTAAGAATATTCTCATTTTATGAAACAAAGTGTCAAGTGCGCAACATTACTAGTTTGTCATGCAGACAAAATTTGTTTCCCATCAATTTTTAGATCGACATTCATGCACAAATAAAGCTTAAACGCTTATGATTTTCCCCCCTATTGCTGATCTTTCAGCGAGCAATGTGTCGTACGAACGTGTGTTCTTCGAAAAAATACAAAAAAGCTCGATTATATAGATTTCTTTCGATTTTTGAATATCCATTTATTTTCTAATCAATCGAGTTTCAAAAATATATAGTGAGAAATAACTTCGTATATAATCCAAAAAGGTTTGACACAAGCTTCGCAGAAAAAACGACAATATTTTAAGCATAATAAGAGAAGATTATGAAATAAACCAAAGAAGCATATACATATAATAAAGTTTGATTTGACGAACGTTTCTGATGGTCAGGGTGAGATTCAACTTACAAGAAAATTATTTTATTTTCTTAAATTCAGTATTGCCCCATGCATCGCTAAATGAAAGACGTAAAGAATCAAATTTTTGTTTCTCTGTACTCTCTCGCTCTCTCTCTCGTTTAATTGAAATATGTCTAAATTTTTTGCCATGTAATCACTTTTGTGTGCTAAAAGATCGAACTTTGACTAATTTCTGCCTGTAGTGGCCTTTGTATTTCATTATCTACATTGTTCTAGTAGATTTATCCTATTTTATGATGGCAGTTTTTCACTGGTGAATTTTTCTTGATCCTGATTGTTGAAAAATCCTAGTCATATCTCAAAGTTGTCTCTTTTACTAACACCAAATATCATATTCTTGATCAGCATGAAAAACAATATTGAATAAAGTGTCTTTTAAGCTCTTTTGAACAACTTTTTTCGCATCTGAAAAACTGCCATCAATCTCCTTTAAAATCAGTTTTATGTCAAAACCTGGAATTTTCAGAATAAGTTTCATTCAAATTTTCATTTCGTCAACTCAGATAAGCGTTAGAATCAAAAAAGTAAACCATAATTCGTAGCTTTTTGTTTTTGATCCAAAATTGATTGAGAGTAGTCAAACGCGATTTTTTCAATGTGAAAAAAAGTTGCTTAAAAGAAGTTAAAAGACACTTTAATCAATGCTGTTTTTCATGAATAATCAAGAATATAATATTTGGTTTTAGTCAAAGAGACAACTTTGGGATACAACTAGGATTTTTCTTACGTTTTTTAGTTTATCAAACTTTTGAAAATATTCAGGATTTTTTTTTCTTTACATTTACCTTCATATTATGAAGAGTTCGTTGAGGTGTGGTATCGGATTTCATAGGAATCTGAGGACTGGTGACTATTCGTAACCTCAAAGAGGGATGGATTGTAGGTAATAAACCATGCCTTGTGAATCTTGTGATGATGTTTGTTTTCACAGAAACAAATAAAATTTAGTAAAAACAAACATCATCACAAGATTCACAAGGCATAGTTTATTACTTACAATCCATTCCTCTTTAAGGTTACGAATAGTTGCCACTCGTGGGATTACTAGGATATCCGATACCAAGATAGGATATCTGATACAAAAAATCAAGTCCATCGTTTCATTGCACAGACAGTAGCTAGTCATAGACACTCATTTTAGTCAATTTAACCATAGATACTCTCTTAACCATATGTCTGAAAGTGTAGCAGATAACTATGTGGTGAACTTTTTGCCTTTCAAGAGAGAAAGCAATAGTCTGTCAGTCATATGGTACAGGATGAGACAAGAAAATACTTTTTAAAAAAAACTTATAAAACAACTGGCTCTGATTTAGCCGGACAAACTCGTGCTTTACTCAATATCTTCAGTGGAGTATGAAAAAATTATGAATAACTTGTGTACGAGCTGCTGACGTAAACGATATTCTGCATTAAAAGTTTTGACTATCACGCATAAACAAAACAAATATATTCTGCGTAAGTTTTTCCATCAGTATTTCTGAATATTATGCTAATAGGATGTTAGAATTAAATGAATTTTTATCTTATTGTCACTAAGATTACAACAAACATTTAATGAATTAAAGATCTATTATCTCCTAAGAGCTATTCGTTAGACATTAACCATTAATTAGAGAACAATTCACTTACTAAGACAAATCTCTTGACGTATCTGGTCCAAATACGAGTTTTTGTGAGTGTGCTGCCTTTTCTTCATTTTGTTCATTATATACTTTTGTTTCCATATCAATACCCATACCCCATGAATCTATTTTATCATTAATAATTTCGTATGGTGGTCGTTGATAGCCTTGTGCATTTCTTGCATAAATTTTCAATTCTTTTCCACGTTTTATCGTTAAACCATATGGTATAACATATTGTATATCTGGATTACCATCAACACGTCGACGAATTACCCAGTTCGATACATCAACATCTTTGTCAGTAGAAGCATTTTCCAATATAATAAATTTTCCACTTGGAGCGCATTCTTCTACAAACAGAAAATGATGCGCATAAATAATAGTTAATGAGACAATTAATCACCACTTACTTATTGAAATTGGTCCTTTTTTAATGATTCTATTAAACACTCTGCCTAATTCAGAGCCGATTACTTGTAATGGTTCTGGTGTCGGTGGTTCAATGGGTGGTGGTGGTAAACGATTTGTTTCACTCTCTATAAGCCGTCTATAAACAGCAATCTCTTGTTCTAATGTAACATTACTTGTTTCAATTCTTTCAATTTCTTGTGACAATATTTGTATTCTATTCTGTACTGCCATTAAATCTTTATTTACTGCGTCATTTATACCGAACTGTTTTTCTCTATTATACTTTAAATCTTCTTCCATTTTTAAAAATTTATCTTGTAAACCTTTATATGTTTCTTTTTCACGTGCCAATATTTTCGATGCATCAGTAATATCATTTTGTGTCATTTTTATTTCTTCTTTTATTTTATTTAAAGCACCCATACGTTCTTGTAATGGAGCAACATTGTTCATTTCATTGTGTATTTCTTCAATTTTAACTTTGTAACGTTCTTCCATTTGTGCACGTTGAATGTTATGTTGTTCTTGAAAATCTTTGCGAATATCGCGAATGGCTTTTTCTAATTCTTGACGATAGAATGATTGAGTATCAATAGCAGTTGTTGGTTTTAATTGATCAAATTCACTAGAATGATAAATTTGTTAAATAACATCAGTCAAAATCGAAATAATTCAGAATAATCACGTCCAATTGGATAATTAGTTTTGTAGTATCTTTCATCTATGATTTTTGAGAGTAGAAAAGAAAGTTTTTGCTCAAAAATAACCCGAAAAAAACATCTAAATTATAAATGAGTTTGTTAGATATTGAAAATGATATCGCTAGAAAAATAAAAAAAAGTTATTTAAAAATTTTATTATAGAAAATCTAAGTGAATTTGGGACGTAGTTTGCCGAATAGGGGTGGCACATTACTGTTACTTTTACGAGTAATCCAAATATTGTAAATATTTCTATTACCAGTAACAGTCATACTTTCCAGTTTTACTGTTGCTGATACAAATTTTATGAACATTCCTATTACCAGCAACAGTAAAACTGGAAAGTATGACTGTTACTGGTAATAGAAATATTTACAATATTTGGATTACTCGTAAAAGTAACAGTAATGTACCACCCCTATTGCCGAAACTATCATTCTACTCACTTTTATCAATTATCATCTACTGTCTTTCATAGAATTTTAGCGATTCATATTTTTCTGCGAGAAATTATGAGGATAAAAATATCGGTCAAAGTGTTTAGTTCAATCGAATAGTAATAGAAAAATGTTTCAAAATGTTCATACATATTTTTTACTACTATATCAAGATTTTCATTCGTAGGGATCTAATAATAGTAGTATTCCTTTTAAATTCTAATTAGTTTACAAACCTTATCAAATGTGAATGTATATCATTTAAAAATGGTATTTCTTCTCGTAATGTTTGAACTTGTAAATCTAATCTAATTCGATCCATTGTTGTTTTATATGATTGTTCATTTAAATTTTCAATATCTTGTAATAAATCTTCACGATGTTTTAATAAATTTTTTAATTGTTCTTCAACTTGTTTATAAGATTTTTGTAAATTAGTTAATTCTATACACGAATTGTCATATTCAGCTTTTAATGATGCACGTTTAGCTAAATAAAATAGATTAAAAAATAAATATATTCTATTTCAACTATAGATAGAATAAAGCTGAAAAAAAACTTTTACCTTCTTGTTTATCATTCCATTGTGTTTCATCATTAATTAATTGTCTATAATTATCAATTGTATAATGTGAACGTCTTAAACGTGTTTCCCAATCGGCTTCATCTAACATATTATCATTAACATCATGTCGTAAACGATCTAGCAATGGTGTATGTATTTGTACAACTTGTTGTGACTGTAGACCCCATGATTTTGTTATTTCATCTAACTGTTTTGTCAATTTTGCATTATAATGTTCTAGACTTTTAACAGTAGCTACGTAGCCACTAAAACGTTGATTTAAGTCATTTAATTCATTTTTTTCACGTATATGTCGATCACGTAAGTCAGCTGTTACTTGTGTATTGGATGTTGCTGAACGTTTCTGTAATATTGATTGTGTCGATGATGTAAAACTTGTTGAATCATTTTGTTGTTGTATACGTGGTGTAGGTGTTCTACGTATGTCATTCGTAGAAATTATAGAATCATCAGTCAAACGGCGACCAGAATCAATTTGAACAGAACGTGATAAACCACTCGATAAGTGAGAATCAGATGGCATCATTTTTGTTGTTGATGGTGGTGGTGGTGGTGGTGGTGTTGATGCTGAAGTTGTATCAAATTGTGATTGCTAAAATGAGAAAAGTTAAAAAAAAAATATTTTATCCTTGATCATAACAAAAACAAGGGTATAAGTGAAGCAGTTTATTTTTGAGAGTTTCGCTTGTTGTACTTTACTTACAAATTTCAATTTATATTTTATTATAATCGACAACAAAAGTTTGAAATTATTAACATTTGACAACGATGATGTCTAGTATTCTGACACGCTTCTTATTATATTCAAATAAAAAAAGGTTTAATAATATCCACATACAAGTTCAAATGAATTCAATTTGACAAGACGCCTTACTAGTTATCGTTAGAACATCTCTCTGTCTGTGTTCTTACACAAATCATATAAATGTGATTTTTTAATAATAATAGATCTATAATTGATATTTTTTTATATATTTTTATAGATGTGAAAGAAGACCGTAAATACATAAAGTAAAGTAGATGAAATTTTAATGAGATTAGAAAATAATCAATTTCTACATATAATGATAAAGATAAAGAATTGAATATAAACATATTTGAATTCTGACAACAAGTGGAATTAATATGAGTTCGAACGTGTTGATATTCAACTGATTGCTCACGTTTTTATATAACTTCTTAGGTTGCCTTCAACTTGTAGGTAAAAGTCTTATATATATATTTTCTTTTTTAATTATTAATATTACTAAAATAAAATGGAATTTAATTCTTCAGTTCATTCATTTTTTTTAATTCTTATGATAAAGAAATTATATATATATGGAGAATTTTCATCGTTCTAAGATTCTTTCTACAAGACGAAATAAGTTAAATAATAATAATAAAAAAAAAAGAAGAAAAAACGAAAAAAGTGTATAATGATGATATGTAGATATTTTATATACATGTTTCTCAATTTTAAAAGAAAAATATATTTCAAAAGTTTTTATTGACGGATTTTCTCTAGTAGAACGTTCATTACAGGTGATCTTCTAGAAAAACAGAATTCGTACACAAATGTATTTTTGGCAAACTTCAAAATGAATAATAGTTTTGAGAATTGACTTCCTTTAGGGAAAAAATGCAATATAATCTGAACATATTGATTACACAGATGGAATACAGTTAGATGGTACATAGTCGAAATATTCATATTTCAATCAAAATGTCACTGTTTTTTTTGTTTTAGGACATTCCAAATATTAATCTTAAAAATTGGCAGTTAAATAAACACATAAAGATGTATTTTAAAAGTATTATCTTCTTCACATTCTCAATCAGTAAAAGGATTTTCTACTGAAAACGAGAGAAATCTATCTAACATCATCAAGAAGAAAATGTAAATTGATCTTATTTATTGAATATCAATATGTATTCCATCACGACAAAAATAAAGAATCAGAAGAAGAAGGAGGATAGAGTAAGAAAATCGATCAGCTGTAAACTCTATATAAAAATTCTCTTCATTACGGTAAAAACAAATAGAAGAGAGAAAATAATATATTTGCTTTTATTCCATCATTCGTTCAATTACATCTTTAATTGAAGAAGAAAAAACGAAAAAGATGTTTTAAAATTTATTCTAACAGGCAAATGGTGATCTGTAATATTAATTGTTGTGTTGTTCATCTGCCTTGTTTTCACATATCTATCAACAGTTATTATTATTGCGAAAAGAATTACATACTGTTGTATTTATATTGTTAAACATAAAAAGAAAAAATAAACATTATACTTTGCCCTGGAGTACAGGTGTTGTTGGATTATATATATTTATAATAATAACAACAACTACCATTATTACTACAAATTACAATGAATAGTTAAATTAAACCTTTGGGTTAATTTGATCAACATACATATACACTGTATGTATAGATAAACTTTAGATAGTAAAGAAATTTTTTTTCTTTTTTTTTATCCAGAACTGATGGCATTTCTGAATATAACCATACGGAAATAATATTACAAATATTTATAATCGTAGAGTCAATTGATTATATAATTAATCTAATAATATCAAGTTTAAAGCATGTTCACATTTTGTTATGATTTCTTACAAACTATGTATAATATGTCTGTATATATATACATATAATCATTAATATACAGTAAACCGTTCACAAACTATCTAACTTATCAACATGTTTTCTTACATTAAATATTTCTAAATTAGAATGTTCAAAAAGAAATAAAAACAAAAAATTATTTTGCTGATATCATGATTTATTTATAATAGATTTGTTTTTTCTTTTGATAATAATAATTTATACAATTTCGTAATCTACATACCAGATTGATATAAAAAGTTAATCAAGAAGACAATTATATTGAATAAAAGAGACTAATTTTTTATTTTTTTGTCATGTATAAAAAAAATAGAAAGTAACAACTACATTCGGAAAAACAGCGAAAAAAAACGTTTGTTCTTTCTTCTACTGTGATATATCGATAAAAAAGGACTCCAAAAATAATTTCTAATGTAATAATTTTATTAACAGAGAAGCAAAAAGAAAAAAGAAAAACCGTTTTTGAAGGTCTATAATGAAATCTAATGATAGATAGAAAAGATCTTTTTCTTTTATTTAGAACGTGTCTCAGTCGTTATTGAGCTTTATTGGGATTATAAGTAGTATTTTAATTTCTTTTTTTTCTTCTTCTTCTTCTTCTATCCATAAGCTCATATACATACACGCACTACTCATACATTTCTATCTAGACTATTGATATAATAGACCGGTTTTAAGAAGCAAAAAAACAATAAAAATGAAAAATGAAACCATCATGGTTCTGTTCGATTGACCTTAAAATTAAGTATTACTGTCCTACAACTGTTTAAAAACTCAACACAAGGTTATAGTCTAAGAACACTTTCAACATACTCCTATAATATCGATTCTCGTATGTTAAAGTAGAATAAAGAGATTATTCTCTAATATAATGATTCTCTCAAATTCTTGAGAAAATTATAGTTAATTTATTTTTCATTATCACATTCTCTTTTTCATAATATTTTATTGATTTTAGAAATATTAGAATAACAAGGACAAATACGTTTTTGTTATATTATTTACAAAATTAATCCATTGCAAATATTTTATAAAAAAAATTATCGTCATCATTTGGAAAAATTAGAGTCATCCATAATAGTCTTAGATACAAATACCGATTGTTGAATGAAACCTTCTAATAGATATCTTATTCATTGTTTTTTGTGTGTCAAAAAACATTAAATAAAAGTGAATATTTAAAAAGAATGAAAACTAAAATGAAATGTATGTGTGTGATGCAATGTATCAGATAGTGATTGCGATTATAATCGAAGTCAACATATCACTAAAAATTTTGGCAACAGACGGATGACAGTTCAAGAAATAAAAAACAAAAATTACTGATTTTTATTTGAATTGTTTAACCGACGCATATAAAGTATGTTATTTATAGAATCTTGTCAGAAATAGGCTTTTTTTCTTCTCTTAACACATGGTCAAGTATTAAGAAATATCTTTTAAATCAATTAGTGTACAGTAAACAAGAGAAGAGGAGGCAAAATGTAAAAATCATTTCCGTCTACATGAACTTACTATAAGATGATGTTGTCGTCATATTTATACTTTTATACTCGCGCTTTTATCAAGTCTTATTCTTACGACGTCTTTATCTCAAAAATGATAGATAAATGGATAAATAGATAGACTTTTTCCTGTATATATGTACAAACAAAGTAAAACAATGAATAAATTCTCTATTTTTCTTTCATTGTAATGAATATATATATATATAAACAGCATCGATATCCGTTGATAAACAACAAATTGAAGCAAGAGTAGAAAGAGATCATTATAATGATTATAAATAATAAAAAGGACAAGTGTGCTAATGAGAGGAAGCACCTGCTTATATGAGTTACAAGCACAATAATGTACACTTTTCATTCTTCTCTTCTCTGTTCAGTAGTCAATAACAATATAATATTAGCTCAATTTGAATTGTTGACGTTTTTAAACTGATCGTACCATTTATTTTATTTTCTCTCTAACAAATAGAAAAAAAAATAATAAATCTTGAATAAACGGAGATAAAAAGACATTTTGAGAATATAGATATCAAAACACGAGCATAAATAATAAGAACAACAGCTGAAATCCTATTTAAATTTATACAATTTATGAATTGATGTTTTTTTTTAAGACGTATCCATATGTTTATGTATTACATGAGGAAGAAAATAATTAATATTGCCATTAACAGTATGACTATTATCATCAGACAACTTGTATCTATTTGCAAAATGTCTAAAGAGACCCATTTACGCTTAAAATATTCCCTAACAAACCGTTGTTTTAGAAGGAGAAATAGAAATTCCTATACAATATGCTGATACATGAAATTGCCTTAGGTCATACCACTCAGATTATTTGACAAATACTATTCTTCGATTAGAATCATTATAAAAACATTTTCTTTTTTTAACGGATATAGTCTCAAATCTCGGATAAATGTAGCAGTAACCATTGAAAAATGTCAGATTGCAAACAACTATTCAAACTTGTTTAAGAAAACTATCGTTTGATTGACGTCTGAAATTTTTCAATGGATAGAGGACATTTAATTAAAACGAATTAGTAGTAAAATTATGAATAATTTTGATTGAATTGACAACTGATCCTCACGTCTCATGCATATTATCATTCTTTCTTTAGTGTAACAAAAGTTATTCGATAATAGTATGAATGTCACTGACTTTTTCTATTTCTGTCTATCAATATTATCTCCATCAGAAACGATTAAATCAGCTTCTGACAAAATTCAATATTAAATCTGTCATGAATCTTACCTAAATTTAATAAAAATAAAACTTGAAAAATACTGATGTTCTATATTATTTTTTCGATTTTTTTTTCTTATTATTATTATTAAATTAATCAATACTTCACAAAATTATGCTTGTAAATAGTTTTTTTTTTTAAATAATAAGTAAAAGAGATAAAGAGGGAAAAAAGAGTGAGACATTTTTTTTCTTATTGAAAAAAACAATTGTCTGTAAAATCACATCGTTTTGTTGTCTCACTATTACGACTTTGTTCTTCTTTTACAGAAAGAAAATATAAATATTTTTTCTCAAGGAAAGTAGTGCGAAAAGGACGAGTATCGAACTATGTAACATAATTTATAATTGAACGACAACTATTTGACTTAGCGTTAGCATTAGTTCTCGACTACTGTTTTTTGAAGGATTATCTTCTATATGGCAATAAAGAGAGAGAGAGATAAGATCACGGGCTACATAGACATATCGTGTTAACAATGTAATATGAGTTCATATCCCCGCCTCTCATTAAAAATTATCTCTCTTAAAACAAATTTTAAGGTTAAATTAATTTAACACAATCACCCTAGCCAATCAAACTAAGATGATATTCGTGTATATAAAATGTTACATATTGATCAATAGTAGAATAATTTATATAATTTTAAATAAATGCACACTTTATTTTTATTAATTTAAATCAGATTTATAATTTTTGTCAAAATAATGGATACTATTAGTAGCCTTAGAAGTAAATTTCCGATATAATTTAATATTTTGAATGATGGATAATTTAGAAACGGTTTATGTAAGATATTTGAGCAATAAATAGATCTAGATGTTGAAGACTACTCTCAAAACTGCAATTGCAAATAGTGATACTAGCCGACTTGAATATGAGCAGCGTTAGTAAAAAGAAAATTTGATCGGTGGTGATGATAGGAAGTCAGTTTGCAAAACAAAAGCAAAATATGTGAGTATCCAGAAAGTGTTATTAGCCAAGATCGTCATCGTCATGATAATAACAATTGATGACGAAGAAAAAAAAATGCAAAAGAAAAACACAAATTCTCTTATCAGATTGAGGTAAGTAAATAAAACAAGTTACAACTACGAGAGACAGAACCCTTGTTTCATCACCATCATATTCATATTTCTCCCAAACAACGATCTTTTTGTTAGTGAATGAATTAGTATAAACAGAAGTGATGAGTTTGACCATGAACCTGATTAGTTACTTGCTGTTTTCTTTAGGTCAATCTAGCAAGTTTATCTACACTATTATTCGTCAAGTAATATTCTCATGGATGATGAAGCAATAGTATTTTTTCTCAATATTTTTTTGTTTTAAAATTTTAGTCTAAAATAGTCATCAACAATCGATCTACTTCTTACACAAATATCTTTATACATCGTTTTAAAATTATACATCCTCAAGTCATTCATAATATTAAAATTCATCTCGAATTAATGAATGAAATATAGTATCTATAATAATCTCTTGACTTTTTTTACCAAAATCTTGGCTACGACAAGTCTCTTGTCAGCTATCAATAAATTTAATCAAGAAAAAGATTCATATGACCTATAAGTTACAAATGATACGTTAGCTATTTGTATACATACATTTTTTTAAAGTGTGTTGACAATGATGTGGTAATTGTGAGAAGAAGAACGTTCTACCGCAAATATATTTTATGAAAAATGTCGATTGTTAACAATGTTGTTTATTTTCTAGTAAAAAAATTTTTTTCAAGGTTTTGAGAGAGAGAGAGAGAAAGAGATATCAGTATTTTTTTCCCATATTTACTCTTCTTTTCACGTATATAGTTAGCGCATCACAAATTATCTTTTTTTTCTCTTCTGTTCCCAAATAAGAGAATATACACACAAAAAATGAGTTTGTTCACGTACATTCAACTTTTTTCGTTTCTAAATGAATGAAAAAAAAAAAAATGTCAATAACATAAAATATAAAAAATTGATCTTTGCTTTTGGATTTGAAAGTGTTGGAAAAACCAATCACTTGTTTGACACATTTCAAAATAGAGAAAAAAGGTGACAGTTTAAACCGCGATGTTTGATCAGATGCAAAAACGTTTTAACTTCCATAATATCACGAAATATCTTCACTGTATTTTTTTCTATAAATTTATTATTATTTTTTCTTTTTGTGGTTTTGACTTTCACATATCGATTCTGGTTAACTTTTTTCTTTTTTTTTTTTTCTTTTTTTTTTCCTATATATATATGTGTGTGTGTGTGTATATTACGGAAGATGTATTGGTGAAATACATTGGGGATGAATTTTCATTTTTTCCATATAAACTATAGAGAAAAATGAAAAAAAACAACAACCTAATAAATAATCTAATTGTAATTTGATATAGAAACAAAAACAAATTTTTTGAACATTGTTGATTAAAAATAATTAAGAACGTTTTATTTTGAAATTAGGTAGTTTAAGTTTAAAGAATAGGAGATATTATAGAAGATGAGTAAGCTAGTTCAAATTTAACTGTGAATCTTAAATAAAAAAACTCTCTATTTCATCTACAACTCTGTATCCCCCTAAGAAATTAACATTGAAATATTTCTATAGTGTAAGTGTTTGATTAAACTCCTCACTCATATGCTTATTTTATATTAATGTTAAAAATTAAATGTGTACACCTGCACGGCGTGTGAAAATTGATTATTTAAAGAGAAAACAAAAAAAAAGACGAAGAGAAACGAAACAAAAAAATTTATTAATCATATGTATACAAAGACATATTCCAAAGTTTAAGAAAATAAAATGTCCTTGATGTAGGATTATTCTCAAGTAAAAAGAGATGGACTAACTTCTGTAAAGAATAAAAAAAAAAAAAATGACATGAAATTTTTCATATTTGG